CTGTGCCGGCTGGGCACCGGGAACGAGCCCGCCATTACCGTGACGTTACCTCCGCAGGGCGGGGAGGCGGTGAGCCCGAGTGCTGCCCAGGTGTCCGCCTCCAGTCCCGTATCTCCAGGGTTAGACCCCGTGCTGGCGCTGAGGGCACAGCGTCATAACCTGCTTCTCCTTTTCGAGCGTTACGGAGAGAATAATCAGAGTTTAAACATGTCTGGCTTCCGGCAGCTGCTCCGCAGTCTGGGGGAGGAGAGGCTGAAGAGCATCGCTATACAAAGAACGGATCATCATCATCATCACCACGATCACCACCGTCATCCTCACCATCATCAGCACCATCCGCATCACCACCACAACAACAACCACCACCATCATCATCCTCACCCTGTCAGCCCCAACACTGAGCACAGTCACACTACATGTGAGGAGAACAGGAAGAAGCGACATGTGTCCTCTTCTGAGAGCCAGGCACCTGGGACAGGCAGCAGCAGCATCTCTCTGGGAACTGAAGTGGAGGTGATTATCATGGGCCTTCCCTTATGTCACGATTAATGACTGTCACAAAATGAATAGAAACAAATAGTTTTTTTCTACAGATCTTTTTGGGCTAACTCTGTATGATGGTTAAGGTTTATGAGTCCTACTGCCTTTCCAACCCAAAGCTTGGCTGTACACCTAATACATATTAGTTTTTTCATGTTCAGCAAAACTCTTGTTTCCCCCTTCTATGCTAAACAGTGTGGGGGACCCCCTAGCCCCTCCTCCCCTCACCGCCAATCATTTATATTGTGACAGTGGTGGATGTGTCAGTGACTGCAGCTGGCTGGCTGTCAGACCATCCAAACAGTGACTGTGATTTGATTGGCTGGCTGTCGGAACACCCACACAGTGACAGCGGGCAATTGGCTGTCGGAACACCCGCACAGTGACAGCGGGCAATTGGCTGTCGGAACACCCGCATGGTGACAGCGGGCAATTGGCTGACGGAACACCCACACAGTGACAGTGGCCAATTGGCTGACGGAACACCCGCACAGTGGCCATTTGGCTGACGGAACACCCGCAAAGTGACAGCGCCTGATTGGGCGCAGTCACAGTTTGACCGAGGTTTCTCAGAGTGGTTCCTTTAACAACAGTCAATTGAAACAAATCGGCTTTTGTTGAACTGAGGCACTAACGGGGCCACACACTATTTAAACGTTAGGCAAGTCAGTAGGCTGAAATTCAAGCAGTCTGTGACTAGCTTTACCTCTGCCACTCTTGGACCACAACCAAAACTGTCCACACCTTAAAGGAGAACTATGGGGTCAGTGTTTTTCCCCATAGTTCTCCTTGGGGTAACGGGAGGACACAAACTAGCGTCCTCCCGTTACCCTAAGCTCAGTATACCGCGAGCTACAGCTCGCGGTATACTGAGACGCCGCACCTGGAGCGGATCCTGACTTAGATGACGGGATCCGCCCAGCTGCGTGAGTGACAGCTGGCTCTGCCTATCTAGAGGCAGAGCCAGCTGTACCCGCCCCCTCCCCCGTCCGTTCCGCCAGTCAGTGCTGGCAGATCGGAGCGGGAAGAGGGGAATCCAGCCCCTCCCCCTGTCACGGCAGAGAGCCGTGACAGGATCGAGAGGTGAGGGAATCCGGTATGTGTTCCCTCACCTCCCGATCTACTGAGCCGACCTGTGACAGTCTCATTGTCACAGGTCGGCTTAGAACTATGACGTGAGTGGAAATCACTCATGTCATAGTTCTCATTTAACTTTGCTTTCTAAGAATTCATGTGTTTATGTTACTTTGAAATAACTGTGAAGATGTTTTCAGTTGACGCTCATAGGTGCAAGATACAATGGGGGGAATTTATTAAAACTGGAGCAGACAGAATTTGGAAAAGGTGCCAATGGCAACCAATCAGCATCTATCTTCTGTTTTGTTCAATTAAGCTTTGAAAATAAAAGAGAAGCTGTTTGGTTGCCATGGACTACTGCTACAGTTTTGATAAATTCCCCCCAATGTTCGGTTTCGTAATGCTGACTTTTTTTTTTCTTACAAATCTGAACTTGTATGTATTATATATTGTGGGCCCATGCACACAGCTCCATAATCATCTGCTGATCAGGCAAGGCACAAATGGCTCTTTAACCTAAATGAATCATATGGCCCGTTCATATGTGCATTGCGGCACAGCACAGTATAGGCATTGGTGTGTTGTGGTGTCATTCATTTTAAAATAACTACCTCTGCAACGCACCGCAGCACGTTACCACAGATGGTCTGCATTGTGGATTGCTGCTAAAGAAAAAAAAATGTAGCCTGCGCTAAGTTTTCATGTGTTAAGGGTGTTCAAGCTCATTCTTTCTTTAACATAAAAATGTGATGTGACATGAATGGGCCCTAAAATGTATGTGTCCTACAATTTTGTGTTACGTTTTAGGTTTGTGTAGGTGGAGGAAACCCCTCCCAGATGCCACCAGACCAGCTGCCACCGCTGAAAAGGCTCATTCACAGCAGATGTGTTGGGACTGCACAGGCCCAAGGCAAATACAGGGTGGATTGCCTTGTTTACACTACTGCACTGTGAAGAAATGCGGCGTGCAATACTTAGGTGCAACGCAGTCCAAAACTCTAACTAAAGTAAACAATGCGCTGAGCTGGAAGCGGTGCATCAGCACTGTTCCTCCTAGCGCACACCAGGGACCGAGCGTTCATTGTGGCTGGTTGGTATGAACAAGCCCTTACCCTCACCTTTTTGTTCTGGTGACAAATGTAAAGATTTGGATTTCCCATCACTTTCTGTCTCTTATCATTTAACGTTGAGCCACTTATGTGTCAGCTGACACCTTTTTTCTGTGCTGAAAGCCCAGCACAGTGACACCGCAGAGTAGTCACCGTTTACAATTAGGAGCCGGTGGGATGGGCTTCTGAACATGTGACTGCGGTGACAGCCAATCATAGCAGCTTGCCTTTGACTCCGTAATAAGAACCCCTTAAAGGAGAATTATGGGGAGAGTCAATTACATACATCCCCACAATTAGAACCGACGTGACACTGAAGCTGTCTCATGTCGGGTCTATTGATTGGGAACTTAGCGATAACATGACTCTGATTGTTCAGTTCCTGATCATCTCCCTGCAGAGAGCGGTGACTGTCAGTCTCTGTTCCCTGCAGGGATTCCGCCCCTTTTCGTTTCTCCAGCGCTGGCTGGAGGAACAGATTGGGTGGGCACAGCTGGTATATGTCCTCCTGTGACCCTAAAGAGAACTATGGGCAAAAAAGGTTGGGCCATAGTTCACTTTTAAAGCGTTGGCGGCAAGGCGGCAAGGGTTAAAGTGTATCTATAGCAAAACATTTTTGCTCAGTGGGAAATTGTTAGAACACCTGCCAGGTATTTTCTTTTTTTCTGTCTGTCCTTTTTGGCAAGATTTCCATTTACTTCCTGCCTGCAGGATGTGAGATAAAGCTGTCCAAAATGGAGAAGGATTAAAGTTGGCCATACACTGGTAGATTTTTATATGAACAATCTTGTCATCGGAGTCTTGACGAATGTCATTCAGAAATGTGTTTTTAACATTAGATTTTGGCAATGAGTGGAGTTTCCTGAACAAAAACCATGTTTACTGTTAGAATTTTGTTTTGAGAAAATTGGTCCATCCAGCTCCTTGATTTTTTTTTTTTTTTTCCGTCACTTCATTCGAAAAAGATCATGGATTTGACCTGAACAACTGTTAGAAATTGGAAGGAATGCGCCACTAATTACTTTTTTCAAACAAAGTTCTGCTGGTGTTTGGTCAGGTTTCGTTGTCACTGGAACAAGTATCGCAGTTGGAAGATTTCTGCATATCTCCTGTTCCTATGTCAACCATAACATTTTGGACCTTCCATCGCTATCTGTTCTGTTGAAAAGTAAACGCACATGCATCTTTATTATTTTTTGCAACGGAGCCTGCCACGCATTGCAACTGCAATCAGTGGATCACGGGTACAGTGTACAGGCTCCTGCAGATGGTTCCTCCCAGTCTCTGCTTCTCCAGTTTCATAGGAAAGTCTCTGCACCTTGGTATGGACAATCGATGGACTACAAGTGCAGTGACGTTACCACACTTGTGCTCCATTGAGAACTACTCAGTCCCTCTGTCGCAGTATCAGATGGGACTTGTAGTTTTTTCATTCATTCTTAAAAATCTATACAAATACATTTTTGTTAACAGTTAAAAAGGTATCTTATTTGTGTATCACTCGGCTGTAGATCCTCAAATCATTTCTGAATTGGTGCTGATACTGTCCTTCCTTCTGTAGGGTGGTCTGCTTCTGGTCCTCATGGTCCTTGTGTGTGTTGTAAAGTAGTCACTGCTCCAAGCTCACTCCTATGATGGACTACAATCTCTGTACAAATGAGTAAACTAAACATGAGATTGTAGTCCATCACATGGAGCAAGTTTGGAGTGGTGGCTAAGTTACAACACACACATGGACCATGGGGAACAAAAGCAGCCACCCTCCAGAAGGGAGGACAGTGTCGGCACCAATTCAGAGATGATTTGAGAATCTACAGCTGAGTGATACACAAATAAGATACATTTTTGTTAATGGTTAAGGTACTTGTATAAATTTTTAAGATTTCACTCCTAAATTTTGTGCCACTTTAATCTCCCTGTTACCTGGAATACCTTGGAATTGTGCTGTAAAACTCCTGGGACACCCAGTGCTTGCAATTGTATTGAGGCATGCATGTTCCCCCAGATATGAACACTGCATTCTGTTTCAGTATGAGCTCAGAGAATCAGTTGTAGCGGTGCCTGCTAGTCATCACTTCTGTTTTTTTGGCAAGGAGACATTTCCAGCTTGCTCAGCTACATTTCCTGGTCACCGTGGTGACTTAGTTACTTGGATTAGGCTGGCTTAGATGTATGTTCTGTGCATTTTTTTTAATTTTATTTTCTTTGTATTCACTTTTTTGCTGGCAAGTTTTAAAGTGACACCAAACTCGGGAATTAAACGTTACAGCATTCAAGTACCTTTAACTATTAACAAAAATGTATCTCATTTGTGTATCACTTGGCCGTAGATCGTCAAATCATCTCTGAATTGGTGCAGACACTGTCCTCCCTTCTGGAGGGTGGCTACTTCTGTTCCCTATAGTCATTGTGTGTGTGTTTTTAAAGTAGCCACCGCTCTAAGCTCACTCCCATTGTAGACTACAATCTCACGTTTAGGGAAGAAAAGTAGCCACCCCCCTGAAGGAAGGACAGTGTCTATACCAATTCAGAGATAATTATATGTGGTTACACATATAATATACATTTTTGTTAATAGTTAAGGTACTTTAATGCATTTTTAACATTTAACTCCTGATTTTATTATCACTTTATAGTTATATCAGGGAGTATCTATGTTTGCAGACATATGTTTTGGTTATCTATTCATTTTTATTCACGTTTCCTTCTATATGAATTCAAAATCGTATTATTGCCTTAAATTATCACAGCTATCTATTTAAATGTACTTTGACTTGAATGCAAAATGTGTCATTGCAAATATTTCTCTCTTCTTCTTCTTCTTCTAGTGTTTAAATGCCTCACGCCTGCTGACTTTGCATGGAATGAACATGCAGATGCTTCTTGACTTGGATGAGTTTAGATATATCTGCCCAGCTATTATTAATCAAATCGACAGGAAGTCCTGCTTGATTAATGATCATGACGATGCTATGGCTGAAAGCAGCCAAGGTGTATATTCTGTGAAAGTAGGTAAGTAGCTGTGTGTATCATGTAAAATGAAAGAGCTGTTGTTTTAGGAATAATATGTAAGAAATACTTTTTTACTTTGAGCTTCAATGATAAAACTTCTTATAAAGCCAGTATAGGTAATTCCTAAACTGGTCAGCACCATCGAGGGATGCTAGTGCCGTTGGAACGGTATCCATTCAGCTATACGCCAGGTGGAAGTATTATAAATGAAGCCTATAAAGTATATCTAAACACAATACTTTTTATTTCACTTTGGATAGTGTAGGGAAGGGTTAAAACCATTGTCCGTTCTTATTTTCACATTGGGGAGATTTCTCTTCACTTTCTACCCTGTAGACAGAACAGAAAGTGAGAGGATATCGATCCAATGTGAAAAACTCTAATCTTGCAGAGTTGTCCCATGGGCAAGTGTCCCCAGTGGAAGATTTCCCCTCCATTCTTGTTCTGGTGGCATCTCACAAATTTTGGATTCACCCTCCCTTACATTCCCAATGACATTGGTGATCAGGGCAATAAGAACGAGTGAAGCAATAAAAACCTGGTTCTAACCCCTCACCACTCAATCAAAAAAACCTTTAGTTGTACTTTAAGGTTTACAGTATGTGGTATATTCTCAATATTATAGAACTGAATTAGTTCATGATTTCTTATAGAATACTGTAGATGCTCTCAGTTGGCAGGGTTTATCATTTAGGTTGAATGGACCGACTGTTGTGACATAAGGGCTCAGGGGGGTAGTCAGCACTGTAATAGGCATACATACTATAGTTGTTTAATAATGCAATCAAAGCTTACACGAAAAAATCCCTTTTTATGTAGTGAGTGCTGACTTTCTGCCCATCACTTTCAACAACGTCCTGGATTCCCTGTGTGCTTTGAGTCTCTTTTCCTGCTGCTTGATGCAGTCTCAATTTCTCAAGACTACGTAGCCCACCATGCATTGCTTCCAGCAAGCGATAGTAATGTTACATTGTTCAGGTATTGAGTTGTAGTTCAAGAGGCAGGCTCTGTAGGAGTCGTGACACAAGGAAGTGTATATTCACAGTGTGAAATTGTCAGTGTATCGAGGAAGTACATCCTATGCGCATCTTCAATAATTATGTTTATAAACTTCTAGATCAATATGCTTATTAGGAGTTAGATAAAACTTATGGAAATGTATTGTAGAAATACATATTTATTTTAACTTTTTGACCATAGATACCCTTTAATGTACGTGAGTTCTTTCAAAACTATCTCTGAACGGTAGTGTAATGCAGAACTAATGTACATCTACCTTCATGACCGTTATATTCTTCTATAAGCTTAAAACAAAACGTTACTTTACGCTCCCTGTCTCACTCCCCCACCCTTTCCAATTCCTAGCAGCATATACTTCCAATTCCTTTGCTTCCCTACTGGTCTATTCAGTGGCAAGAGCCAAAGGAAAAAAGGAAATGCCCTGTTGGTATAGAGGAGCACAGGACTGGCTCCATGTGTTAGTGCTGGGCCAGTCTGTGTAACTTAATACTCCAGTGACCCCCAGCTTAAATGGGGCTTTCCTTTTAGCTCCTGGTGGCTGAACGTAGTGGTATGGGAGTATTAAGAAGATAAAGACTGCTGCGGTTGTCTGAATGAAAGTAAATCAGTTGATGTGCCTTGCATGGGCAAAGCACATGTTCAATTGTTCATTTTGATATCAAATGTGTGATCATTATTTCTTTTCAGGCCTAAAATGTGGAATATAACATGGGTGCAAAAATTGAAAAAAGGGCCTCAGTCATGAAGGGGTTAAGCATGTTCTTTCCAGCCTGGTAATCTTTGTTTTCTTTCCACAGCATGGATTGGTGGCTTTATATCAATTACTGTTATAAGTGTGCTATCTTTGCTGGGCATCATCTTGGTTCCTCTGATGAATAAAGTGTTCTTCAAATTTTTGCTAAGTTTCCTGGTGGCGTTGGCAGTCGGCACTTTAAGTGGGGATGCATTTTTACATCTGCTTCCACATGTAAGTAATGAAATCATTGTTAATTCTGGCTTTATGTTTACTGCAAGTGGTATATACTGCCTTTTAGGTTTCTATTCTGCTTCATGAACATAGATTTCGTCACAAGCTGGAGCTTTTTCAAAATCTACATCTTCATTTGCTTAAATTTTGCATAGTTTCACTTGAGCTGGCCATACACTGTTAGTATTTTGGCTGATTCCAAACAAGCAATGAATTAAACAAAATGAAAGGAGCTGAGTGGAAAATTGTCAGCCGAACAGCGACTGCAGTGAAACTTTCGGACTGCCACGGGCGCCAGCAGTCGGCATACAATAGCTGTCCGGCATGAATTCCTCTATGTGCACTACGTTAGCTGCCCCGGATGATGCTACAGTCCTCACTATTGTTATCTATTGCCCTGGTAGGAATTACGCTCATGATCTTAGTACTGCAAGTCCATTTAAAGGCAACATTTAAGTTTCTCTAGCAGTAAAAGTTCTAGCATTCATGTGAAGATTGAATAAAAAATAATGAAAAGCCATCGCTCTTTTAGCGTGAATGCGATGCAGATCTTTGACTAGGATTAAAGAGCAGTTCTTGGCAATAGGTAAGTAATCAATGAAATTAGATAATTATGATATAACATAAATACTACTTATAGCCATTCACTTGCTTTCCCTAATCTGTATTCTTTGTAATCCACTGCACCCACATTTCGCAGACGTAATACCGGGCTCAGATTAGATTTCCTGTACTGTGCTGGCTTTCTCTCCTTTTTACTTGGAGTCTAATTGGTGCCTATGCGAAACCCTATATTTTAAGCACTGATGCACATTTTTTTTAAACCCCATATGACAGACATTGAGGAACCTGCAGGTGCGTTTTAACAGCACTATCTAGCACATTCCAAGAATGCCAGATTACAGACAAAAGGGATTGGTACAATCAACAATGCCCGGATAAAATATGAAGTCCTAAGCAACTAGGCTTTGCTTCCTGTATACATTGCAATGCTTCATTTTAGTGAATTATTTTTTACTGGAGTTGTACCTTTTTAAATAGAAAGTTCTAGAAGTACTAGGAGAGGAAAATGTACTCTTCCCAATACTTAGTACTGGCAGTGTCAGTCTTCTCTCTGCAGAGAGCGGTGACTGTCAATCATGGTTTCTCGCAGAGATTCCCCACCCACTCTGTTTCTCCAGCGCTCATTTGAAGGACAGCCTGGGAAGAGGGTGGGCACAGCTGGTTCTGGCTCTGTTGGGATCTTTCCCAGCTGTAGCATGGCTCTGCGTTGTCTCCATATAGCAGGCAGTAGCCGCTAGATGCTGACTTTGGGTCACAGGAGTACATTAGAAAAATTTTGACTTTAGTTTTCTAATTAAGTTACCTGTAAACTTCTGCAACTGCTATCCTTTTCTCAAATGTACCTGCTCCTCTGCAGCAGGTATTACATTTTATTTCCTGAGCTAGTTTTTAAACAAAACTCCCAATTCCCTTATCCATGCTGTTGGAGGGGAGTCTCCCCACCCTCCCTAGGCTATTATATTCTGACATTGGCTGGTGTTCGGCTGTCAGAATACCCGAATAGTGTGTGGCTGCAAATTTTCTGCCGGCTCCTTCGATTTTCAGATTGACGGATGACGGCTTTTGACGGGGCCATCCATAGAGCACATTTCACTCCATGTATGGCCAGCTTAAGGCTTGTCCTTGTCTTATGCTGGCTTCATACCTATGCATTGCGGTAACAAATCCTATGTGAGTTGGTGCCTCACGGGGACATTTTTTATTTTAAATAACGACCCAACGCACCACCAGCCCACACAATACCATATGTTGTTTTGGTCTGCTCTGGGGGGAAAAAGGTGCAGGTACATTTATTTTGGCTGTTCTGGTTCATTGGCAGTTATTTTAATAGGCTGCCTTAATACAATGCTTGTTAATGCTCAATAAAACAAATTTAAATACAACTTACCAGAACACAAAGGTGGGCAGTAGCCCTTGAGGGATGCAGACAATGGAGTGTGTCTTGTTACAATACAGAATCGGAGCAGCTGATGATGATGATGATGATAAAGGCAGACCTTCCCATGTAAAATAATTTTCAGAATGCACATGGTAAAGCAAGCATGGGTTATTAAAAAGAAAAAAGTACAAATTTGTTAAACGTTCAACTAAATTCCTTGTACAGTCCATGGTTCACCAGGAGGGGATTGTGTTTTCCTTTAAAGCTACACTTCATGTACAAATTAAAATGAATGCAGTTATGTATTAATAAAATCATACATTTTTTTTTTCTCCCAGCATTCTCTGGCGAACACAAGTCTTTGTTTTAACATGTGGTTATGGCCACCTCCTCTAGGAGCTTCGGACACTATGCAAATTAAAAATGACACCAACTAATCTGGTGGTAACACTCCTGCACATGAGCCCAGTGTAGCTCATTATACTGAGGACGTATGATGGCTCTCAAGCTCTGCTGGCTCTAGACATAGATTCTGAAGAATGTTCTATATAGATGCTGCTGGCAGTGTCATACTGCATAACAGTATTATGGACATTCATTACAGCAGCCATTACTTTGCAGTGTAATCCCAGGCCACTAACATTTGGTACTTTTACTTCAATGACCCTGCCTATTATGAGTCAGTGGTAGCCACTGCAGCGGCCATACTGCAATTGTCATTACCAGTCTCCTAGATCTTGAAGTTCACTCCAGCAATACTACCTACTCTCAGGAAGCAGTGAGCAAGGCTGTTCTGTGACAAGTATTTTGGTCTCCCTGGAGAGTTGTTTTTCTTACTGTGTGAAGTGCCCTTTTTTTTGTGTGTGTGTGTGTACTAGGCTCTTTAAGTTACTCTGGCTCTCTAGAGCTGTTTTCCACTGCCTTTGTAGTGTTTTCATTTGCCCTTAGTTCAGAACCCCTCACCTGGCCTGTTCTGTTACAATGGCTTCTGGCCGAACAGTCCTTGGTTTGTACTTTCATCCAGGATGTTACTCACATTGCCCCTTCCTTTTAGATCCGCTCTTGCTTAGTGGAACCTTTCATGTGTATTTTGGGGGGTTCTTCAATGGCCTCCTTTTAAAATCATGCTCAAGACCTCTCTTAGCTGCAAGCCTTGTCCTGCAAGACACCTTTTCTTATGCTTCATAAGTATAAAATTGTGTCCTCTTTCGACTTCAATAAAGACATTGTGCTCCCATTCTTTTGTTCAGCTCCTGTTCATCCTAAGGAGATTGCCCTTCACACTGTTGATATACGGTAGTGAGGGCTATTAGGGTTTATTTCTCCATTACGGACACTCTAATTCCAGAATGTCCCTGGGTCTCCACTGTCCAGCACGACCATAACTAGACAGATTTGATGTCAGGCCTGTTGAATGACCAAACCCTCTCACCCCCACCACCACCAAGTTTGCGGTCAGTGCTCATTCTACTGCTGGGTTGCTAGTGTGCATGTGTGCCCTCTTCTTTTGTGTGCTTGCCCAACCTCAATTTTGGGAACTGCTTTTGAATGTCCCACATGTTGAAGAGACTTCTGTGTCCTCCAATAAGCCCTAGGAGAAAATGTATTTTTGGAATTTGTTCTTTCTGTAAATTCCTTTTTCTCTAGCTCCCTCCCCATGTGATGGGTGCTCGTTTGTGTTGTTGGTCATTTGTCACAGATGTTTTCTGGCAGGTTGTTTTACCTTTTCCTGTTTTTTCACTGCTTGCAACTCCTGAGCTCACGTGCAGGGGTATAACCACTTGATAGGGTTGTGTCCATTTTTAGTGTTTGTTGCATCTTGACCTCCTAAAATTGGTGTCTATATCCACATATTGAAGAATAGACTTCTGTGTCCTCCAATGAGCTACTGAATGGCAGAGGGGTGAACAGGCTGTGTTGCTTAAATGCAGTAGAACAAAGTTAAGTCTCCAGGCTTGCTGTGCTCTCTAGCAGGGCTGGGGTACATCTCAGGGCTTAACTAATAGAAATAGAAATCCTTTGGCTGATAAAACAGCTCCTATATTTGCATTTTATGGGCATATTTAGTTGTTTACGTGGAGTTCAGCATTTTATATTGCTCAGTGGTTAATATATTGTATTCTACCAATAGGCTTTTTTACTCAAAAATTGAAATCAATACATAATAACCAATAACAATGGGTTGATCAGTCCTGTGGTAGGGGTGGGGTAAACTGCTTTTGTTAGATAAAGATGTTTGTAACGCTTAGAGAGGAAACCCCAAGCTTGTAATATTCTAGACCTGGGGTGCCCACAATTTTTTTGATAAGATCTACTTTTCAAATGATGAGCTACAGGAGATCTACCAATGAAAAAAAACCTCCCTCACACTTTCTCTCCTGGCTGTCTCTCCTTACTCATCCTCCTGGCTGTCTCTCCTGGCCCTCTTTCCTCGCTCTCTCCCCTAGCTGTCATTCCTCTTTTTTTCTCCCCTGGCTGTCTCTCTTTGCTCTGCCCCCCTGGCTGTCTCTCCTCTCTCTCTCCCCTGGCTGTCT